ACGGGCCATGTGTACCATGATGTGATCCCCAAGATGTCAACAGGCAGCACCTTCAGTGGTTTTATGTGCAAAATAAAAGAAACAGTATCCTCTAAAAAAAAACAACAAAAACAAAACAAAACAAAACAAAACCCCAACCAACTCCTATACATGCTCCAGTCCTTGTTGGAACTTATCAATCTCTTGGTTGAAAGCAGAGAATGCAAAGAATGTCTGTTTGTGTTTTAGTGACAATGCAAAGCCTTCTGACTGTGTGAAGTAACACTATGTATGACACAATCTTGCTTGTTGAGCCTGAGGCAGACATGAGGCATTTGCTGTAGAAGGTCAAGGACTGCAGGAAACAAAGATTCTCACCACTGTGCCAATTGGCAGCTTCATGACAGATAGAGGAGATTGAGATTGTTAACAACTTCAGCGTGCTTGGTTCCACAATCAACACTCTTGGCACCAACAGTCAGAAAAGCAAAAGACAAATTGCACTGAGAAGTCTGCTGTCAGGGACCTCTCTGAAGTATGAAGAGCAACCAACGACACCAGTCTGCAGACTATGGGGTGCCTGATCGAGGCCCTGGTCTTAGCAATTGCATGCTATGTGTCAGAGAGCTAGACAATGACTAAGGATGATAGAAGAATCATCAATACCTTTGAGTTGTGGTGCTGGAGACATAACATGGACTGCCAGGAGAACAAACAGGTCTGTCCTGGAAAGGGTGACACCCAGCTGCTTCCTAGAGGCAAGGATTTTGAAGCTCCATTTCATACTTTGGGCACGTGGCCAGAAGGGGGACCAGTCCTCAGAGAAGGACATCATCCTTGGAAAGGTGGAGTCAGTGCAGGAGAGGAAAACCCAGGATGAATTAGATTGACTCAGTGACTGGAGAAATGGGATTAGAACTGTCTAAGACAATGAGATTGGCTAGGCCAGGGAAGGCTTCAGAACTAGTGTCCATAGGGTGACTAAGAATTATAGGGGACTTGATGGCACTTAACAACATGGCCAACACTGAGAAAAGTGAGAATCTCAGAACATTTAATTGTGCTCATATGAAATCTATACCTAGACAAAGAGGCTGTTGTCTAAACAGAACACTGCATGGTTTAAAACAAAGAAAGGTATGTGTCAGGGCTGTACCAATTCTCCATATTTATTCAAACTGTATGCTGAGCAAATTGTTTAAGAAGCTAGACTGTACAAAGAATGTGGTTACTGGAGGGAGACTCATCAATAATCTGCATTATGTAGATGACAAATTTGCTGGAGAAGATAAAAAATGACAGCCTTCACTTTGGATTACATCACAACATCAAGATGGATGGAGAAAACATTGAAAATGTCAATGATTTTATCTTACTTGGTTCCAGATCAAAAGTTTGGGGAAAGTCTGCTGTAGAGAGGTCTCTTCAAAGTAGTGAGGAGTGATGATGCCAAGTTAAAAGGCTAAGTAAGGTTTGCCTGACTCAGGCCATGGTCTTTCCAATCACTAGCTATGCATGTGAGATCTGGACAATGATATGGATGACAAATGAAGTATTGATGATGTCTTTGAGTTGTGGTGCTGGAGATAGTATTGAATGTCACAAGGAATGCCACAAGAACAGACACGTATGTCTTGGATAAAGTGCAGCCAGTGCTCCTCTGAGGTAAGAATGGAGCAGCTTTGTCTCACATGCTGTGGACATGCTGCTGTGTGCCAGTGAGTTGAATAGGACTCATAGGAATCCTATGAACAATAGATCTGAATCCTATCATACCCTGCACACTTCAGCCTATTGCTGCAGTCACTGTCTCAACTCTTATCATTCAGTCTTTCTCTTCTTTGCTGACCTTTGCAAGCTTCATCCCTGCCTCCAAGGCATGTATTCAAAGTATGTGGCATTTGGACAACAGCTTCAATTAAATTGTTCTAGCTTTCTATTCCTCTCAGTATAGTCATGGTTCGTTATGATCGACACAGTCAAATGCCCTGGCATAGTCAATAAGAGACAATCTTCTGGTATTTTCTGCTTTCAAGCAACATTCATCTGCTCTCAGTAAATATTTCTGGTCCCATGGTCTCTTCTAAATTGAGCATGAACCTCTGCTGGTTTGGTCTAGCCTTTTATGGATGATCTTCAGTAGTATTTTGCTTGTATGATATTAATGATTGTTGTTTTGTTAAGTGATATTGAGTCAGTGACCCTATGAATGAAAAACCTGAACATTTGTATAGCTTTCATTGTTTCTCCAAGTTCATAGGGTTTCTGGAGGCAAGCTATTTCAGAAGTGGATGACACTCCTGCTTCCAAGTTTAACTGAGAAGTTCCACCAAACACTGCCCAAGATGGGTGACCATTATTACATTTGACACATCAGTGTTATCGTATTCAGCATCACAGCAACCATGAGTTACCTCTGTACAGCAAATGGACAGACCAGTGCTATACGACTTAGAAGAATGTTTGACCAAAAACAATTGAAAACAAGGTATTGTTGAATAATTCTGACATTGTTAGATTACTTTTGAGAATGGGAACAGATTTCTCCAGTCAGTTGGCCAGGTAGTGGTCTTCCAAACTTCTTGATACAGCCTGATGAGTATACCCAGGGCTGCATCTGTTAGTCAAAACAATTAGATCTGTTGTTCATAGGGTTGCTGTGATATAATCACCTCAGTTGCACACAATAAAAATTTTCCCATTTCTCTCAAACTACAATTTCTAGGACATTAGTACTGTATTACAATCGAGGCAATTTAAACTCATAGTGACCTCATACGTCAAGAGTAGACTTCACACCTAAGGTTTTCTTGGCTGTAATCTTTATGGAAGGTGGCCTAGGGGCAAGAAGCTGTGCTGCAATCTTGAAGGCACATGATTCAAATCAAGCAGATGCTCTGTGAGAGAAGGGTGGGCAATCTCCTCCCATGTGATTAACTTCCTCTGAAAACCTGCTAGAGGATCAGTTATGAGTTGGCTCTGACTTGCTAGTACCCCTCCTCCCCACTCCTACCCCATGTCTGCTAGTTCATTCTCCTGCAGAACTGATGGGTGAGTTCAACCTGACTTTTTGGTTAACAGCAAACACTTAACTGCTGTACTTCAAGGGCTCTTATTTAGTGCTCAGTTTTCAGTTTGTTCATCACCTTATTGCTTCTACTCCTCCACAGGTTCCCTCTCATGTGCTTACAGAGCAAACACATTTCCTCCTTAACTGGGCCAGAGTGTTCACATAGTATAAGGAGGCTCTGTGAGACAGGAACTGTATGTTAAACTTTATATCCTCACAAACAAAATGATCACAGTTCATGCCATTCCTCTAGGAATTCAGTGGCCAAGCCTAAGTCCAGCTGTCTCAGTTCCTTCTTACTTTTATGGGCCTGTCTCCTAGTCCGTTTGTTCAAGTGGGGCCACCCACCAGCTAACCTCTGGCGAATGAAGCCCTCCAAGGACCCTTGAAAAAAATTATTTGCACTTCTGAGAATCCAAGCAGTGATGCAGCTCAGTTCAGAACTGCCAGCGAATGGACCGTCAAGTGAAGTCCTCTTCCCTCTGCCAAAGCCTTGTCGATTCAAGAGGGGAATTAGAGCTCTAACATGTTTTCTCTAAATAGAGAAAGGAGTAACAGCTGGTTTGAAAGAAGAAAGCAAACCCTTTATTGTGTTGGATAGACTTTATTTTTATTACTGTACCAGGGAGTCCACTCTCATTTCAGCTTTGGATGCAGGATTTGGTAAACACTTAAACACCAATGCCTGTTCCCAAGCACCTGAATGTCATGTTGTAATTAAAGGAACAAGACTACAGTAAAAGATATTTATAAAGAAGAATGTATATAGTTTCCTTAAAAATTCCGATTAACCATTTATCTGGGGTGGTAATTACCACAGAGAAATGGTTAAGAAACTATTCCATTTTTTTAAAAAAAGAATTATGCCCATTTCTCTGGAAAAAGGGAAAGCAAAGTATTTTCTAATTTATAAGTGGGATGAGGCTTTAATTTATACCCTTACACCTTCCTCCAATCTTCTATATTTGACCTCTACATTGAAAAGAATTGGAAAAAGTTCAGGAGATGGCCACTGGCTTCCAAAATCATCATTACAGAATTTTAACTTTGTGGGTTATTTCTACAGCAGCATGGAGCTGAAAAAGCAGCTTCAATGCCAACTCTGGTGATTACTTTTAAACTGTTGTACTCAATGATAGTTTGTAAGATATGAACCTCTCCCCTTGACTTGCACATCATACTCTCACTTAAAACCATCATCATTACCCAAAGGCATTGGCTGGCCCACATTGCTTCCTCCAGAATGATCAGTAAATAATGAATGAGAAAAATTTTTTAATTTATTTTGTTATTATTTTATGTGTGTACTGTCAAATTGGATCTGACTGGTATAGGAGGCGATTGTTCCTCCTTCTTCAGGAGAGCATCTGGTGGATTTGAACCGTGCACCTCTGGGATTGCAGTGCAGTTTCCTGCCACTAGGCCACCAGAGCTCGCCTGAATGAGAAATTTTTGTCTTACTTTTTTTAAAAAATTTTTTATTATTTTGTGTGTGTGTGTGTGTGTGTGTGTGTACCGTCAAATCAGATCTGACTGGTACAGGAGGAGATTGTCCCTCCTTCCTCGGCAGAGCATCTGGTGGATTCAAACCGTCCGCCTCTGAGATTGTAGTTGTAGCTCCTTACCACTAGGCCACCAGAGCTCCCCTTGTCTTACTCTCTTATTACTGACTCAATAAGGTCTAACTTGAATTCCATCAGGTAAATAGCAAAGTTCTCCCTGTGATTTTGTCTGCACTGAGTCATCAGGGCACATATGTAAATGAAAAATGTCCTCTGCCAAACTGGACACATCATAAGCCATGCTTACTGAATTAACCACAATCACCCCACAAACAAATTCATACAATCAAATCCTTCAAAAACCTGAGAATAAAAATTCTGAAATGGAATTGTTATGTGCCATCAGGTAATCTGCAACTCATAGTGACCCTATGTACAACAGTCCTAAACCATGCTCTATCCTGTGCTAATCTCATTGTCTCTGACACACCTGCCTCCAATACTCTACTGAATCAATCCATCTCAGCGAGGGTCTTCCTCTCCTGAGCTGCCCCTCCACCCTCCCAAGCATCATGCTCCTCTCCAAACACTGGTCCGGCCTTGCAACACATCCAAAGTATGTTAGACGAAGCTTCAGAATCCTTGTCTCCAAGGAGCAGCCTGGTTTAGCCTCTCTAGGATGAACCTGTTCATTTTCTTAGTAGTCCATGGTATATTTAATACACTTCTCTAACACAGAGCTCAAAGGCATAAATTCTCCTTCTAGCCTTCCTAGTCATTGTCCAGCTCTCTGATGCACAGTAAATGACTGCAAAGACCATGGCCTGTATCTGGCACACCTTAGTCTCCAGATTAACACCATTGCTCTTCAGTACTTTGGAGAGGTCCCTAACAGCAGACTTTGCCGTTGCAATACATCTATTTAATTTTCTGGCTGCTGGTGCCAGAAGTGTTGACTGTGAAACCAAACAAATTAAAGCTGTTAACACGCATACTTTTAAATTGATGATTGTGCTTAGAAACACATTTTTTCCCCCGATGTATTACTGAATAATTAACAAATAAATGCATTAGTGTACTTCGTACAAATGATGTTCCTTCAATTAAAATGTGCGGGTCGGCTATAGCCATCATTTGTGGCTATGTGTTAACAATCTCAATCTCATCACCATCCATCCTGATGCTGCCAATCAGCCCAGTGGTGAGAATATTTGTTTTCTTTATACTGAGACTCAATCCATATTGAAGGCTACAGTCCTTGACCTTCTGAAGCAAGTGTTTCAGGTCCTCCTCAGTTTCCACAAGCACAGTTGTGTCATTTGGATAATGCAGATTGATGAGTCTTCCTCCAATCCTGATGCCACATTTTCTCCTCATAGAGTCCAGACTCCCAGATAATCTGTTCTTGAAAAGGCATGGAGATAGGACACATCCCTGGCATACACCCTTCCCAATTTTGAACGATGCAGTTTCCTTGATCTGTTCTGACGACTGCCTCCTGGTCCAAGTATAGGTTTCGCATTAGCACGATCAAGTATTCTGTAATTCCAATTCTTCTCAGTCAACCACAATATATGTATTAAATATATTTACATATAATCCACTATTTTATCCTCTATTGTTTGTTACTGAGAGAAATCTTCCTTTAGTGCAACTTTATCAATATCCTTTTTTTAAATTTCCTTTCCCTTATTATGGACCGTCAAATCAGATTTGATTAGTATAGGAGGAGACTGCCCTTCCTTCTCCAGTAAAGCATCTGGTGGATACGAACAGGAGCCTTTGGGATTACAGTGAAGCTTCTTGCCACTACTAGGCCACCAGAGCTCCCTTGCTTTTTTAGAAGCTCACTCTCATTGCCATGGAGTTGCAACTGATTAGTTTGATCCTCTAGCAGTTTTAAAGAGGCTGTAAATGACAAAAGAGATTGCCCATCTTCCTCCAACAGAGCAGCTTGTGCATTAAAATTGCAGCACAATTCCTTAATCCAGGCCCTGGAGCTCCCCCCAGCCTCAGGGGAAAAAGCACTGTATATTACTTTGTCATTCTTATTGCTTTTTAATCCATTCAATAAAGTCAGTCATAGCAATGTTAGGGGGGAAAAATCCAAACCAAACCAAAAAAATCCCACTGTATTTTCAAGTCCCCATGTTTACTCATGGATATAGGATAGTGTCCTGAGGTTAGTGTCTGGCCTCTAAATTTCAGTACCAGTAAAAGATAATTCCTGACAGAAAACTAATATAGTTTCCTGATAATGAAAACTTCCTCTGATCTCCTTTGGACCTCCATCAGCTCTGCAATCAGGGGCCTTTATTTCCAGCAGCCAAAGACAGACTGTTAATTCAGGTATGAATTCAGCAAAAGTCACAACATTAGGACTTATGGAAAATCGAGTAAATTCAGCTCCATCTACGGAACTTTTTCCTTAATACACTTAAACCCTTTGTCCTAAAACTCCTGAATTTACCTGATGATGGATCCAGTCAATGGTGGCACCCTTACTGGACATGCCAACAATTAGCTGTATTTGAAATGCAACACTGACAGAGCACTCAATAAATGAAATAAAAACCTGGAAATGCCCAAGATCTTGGGAGTGGCCTGCCATGGTCCCATCAGCAGGCTCTTCACAGAGCATAAGAGCAAGTTTAAACTTGTTTTTCTAACATATCACTTTGTCACTTATTCATAAAGAAGGTTTTCTCTATGATACAATGAAGAAAAAAATGCATTAGAGATAATGATGATTAAAACTACATACTGTGAATAGTTGTAATAAACTTGAACATTCAGAGAAATTAATTCTTACTTTTTGGAAAAAGTTTCTCTTATTTCTTATCAGTCATAATATACTTTCTTATAACAGAGATAACAGATAAAATGGATCAAGGTCCATCACTTTTGAGGGCGGTAGGGGGTAATTTTGAAAGGTGCTTAGGCCTCATGAATTAAGAAAAGAAATACTAGTGGGAAGGGGAGCTCTGGTGGCCTAGTGGCAAGAAGCTGCAACTACAATCCCAGAGGCACACAGTTCGAATCCACCAGATGCTCTGCCGGGAAAAGGAGGAACAATCTCCTCCTGTACCAGTCAGATCTGACGGTACACTCACACAAAAATAAAAAAAAAGAAAAAGAAAAAAAATACTAGTGGGAGGAAGGGTCTAGGACACTGTGGAAGGGCATTTCTAATTCAATGCAGAACATGTCTAGAGTGGTCAAGGATTAAAGAGCAATCAGTCACATGAAGATCACACTGGAAAGAGAGCAAAGTATACTATGCATTTACATATAATGTGTCACACTTGGCAGATACCGGGAAAGAACCAGGATCATCTGCTCAGTAACCTGGGATATATGTGGTTGTAGGCAGTAGGCAGCAAAGGCCGCCTCTTTAAAGGTTTACTTAATCTGATGGTGAAGTCTGAACAAATGGATTTTTAAAAATTATTTTATTATTTTGTGTGTGTGTGTACCGTCAAATCCAATCTGACTGGTACAGGTGGAGATTGTCCTTCCTTTCCTGGCAGAGCATCTGGTGGGTTTGAACCATATGCCTCTGGGATTGCAGTGCAGTTTCTTGCCACTAGGCCACCAGAGCTCCCCTTGAACAAATGTATTTTAATCATTCTGATTCTATTCCTTCAGCTGCTCTCAGCACCTCCAGAATTTCCAAAGAGAGCACAAACTGCTAAATAGAAGGAATACAGAACAATGTATAGGAATAAATAAATACATGATTTCCACAGGAACAATTTTACAGAAAAAAGCCAATGCCAACAACTCTTGTCTGAGAAAGAATCCTGCAAAGTAGAAAGGACAAATGCTTGGAACAAAAAAAAAATGCTTGGAACCACCTTCCAAAGATAAGACTCCAAGATTGGAAACTATAGGGACGTAGCATGTCTTCATTTGTTAAGAAATCGTTAACATTTTTTTAGAAAGTAGGAAGAAAAAGCAAAGACTTGTGACAAGTACAAACATTGTTTACAAAATAACAATTTAAAAGTTCTTTGGGTCTGAATAGGAATAATGTTTTCAAATTTATCAAAATAGTACTGATGGGTTTGGTGGTCGAATTCTGGTCTTCTCCCACCAGTATTTAAGATCCTTCCTCTATCCCTGGTAATTTTTTCTGGTCCAACCCTAACCCAGCCTCATTCTGTCTGCAGATTCACTTGCTTACCAGCTGTACTGAGTAAGTCCTGAATACACATTGTTGATTAGTTTATCGGATTCTGATTAAACAACGAACCCAAGGTGAGGAAAGAATACATGAAGGGGCATATGAGGCTCATCAGTGTAACAAGTAGAGAAAATGCTGTTGCATGACCCCAAGTGATGAGTATCTGTCCACAGTACAGGCTATCTCAGGGCTGGGTGAAAACTGAGGTAAGAGAGAGTGTGGCGGCCGTGGCAGCCTGCTTCCGATGACATGCAGTGTACGTGCTCGTAGAAGTGGGCACTCAAGTACTCATTTCTTCCCAAAGCTTCTGACCCTCTCTGTTTAGAAGACCATACCCTATAAAGTCCCAGAAGATGCATCAGCTCTTCCTCTGGGGTACAAATCTATTAGCACCTCAACCCCTCCTTTAGGAAGAAGTTCA